GCTACCATCATACCTTCATCTTGTATTTTGCCATCACATCTGGTTGACAGAGGGGCACCTCTAGAACACAACCAGAAAATGTCATCAAGATCTGATGTGTCATTTCAAAATAAAAGCCGATTAAAAAAGCACTTTTTTTACCCTAAGTTGTCGTGCTTTTTTTTGAAAAACTCTCTGTTTCCAGTGACTTCTAGCACATCTCGTTGACAGAGGGGCACCTCTAGAACACAACCACAAACTGTCAACAACATCTGATGTGTCATTTCAAAATAAAAGCCGATTAAAAAAGCACTTTTTTACTTTTTTAACCTAAGTTCCCATGCCCATTGCTGGAAAACTCTCTGTTTCCAGTGAGATCCATCACATCTGGTTGACAGAGGGACACCTCTAGAACACAACCACAAACTGTCAACAAAATCTGATGTATCATTTCAAAATAAAACACAATTAAAAAAGCACTTTTTTACTTCGTGAATGGGGCGTCAGATGCGCATACGACGAAAAAAACATCCAAAACATACGAAATTACGGTGCATAACTTTTCGTACGATTTTACACGCACTCATAATGAGAATAGGTTGCAACATATTCTCATTATGAGTGCGTATGAAATCATACGAAAAGTTATGCACACTATTTCATATACGTTTTTGGACGTTTTTCCTCAAAAAAAACACATCAGTGCACATGCGCTGGCAGACAGAAAATAAAAGCCGATCTGCGGACGGACGTAAAAATGGGAAAAACAGTGCAATCAGCACTTATTCATGTCTCTAACTACGTTGCTTGCTGTTTTATATCTTAGGGTCAGGGTTAGGGCTAATTGTAATTTATATTCTATATTCGTGAATGGGGCGTCAGATGCGCATGCGCATACGACGAAAAAAACGTCCAAAACGTACGAAATTAAGGTGCATAACTTTTCATACGATTTCACACGCACTCATAAGGAGAATAGGTTGGCCTGGTGCAACTTGGGCACCTTCTTTCTTTTTTGTTCTCTGTGGGGATTTGCTATATCTGTTATCAGAGTTCTAGTAATGCATTTCGCTAAACTAATCTCCAGTAGATATTTTGCTGTTGAAAGCTTTGAATGTACCAGATATGTATAAAGATAAACAAGGTTCTGTTGTAGCCCATCAAAGTACATAACGGAGCACCAGTGCATTATCCGGTGATCTTTGGAACATAATCCTAATCTTTTGAGATAAAGACAGAAGAGCCCCCATCAGGTGAATGATTTGTCTAAAATTGTTTCATGAGATCAGCTTAGCTCTTCACTGCTGTTGATCTGGAAGAACCAGATTAAAACAAGTCTTTTCATCTCAGTAGGGAGTGTTCTTCTCCATGCAGTTTCCTTTTGCTCACAGTGAACTCCTTGATCTTGAACTGATCGCTATCTGGCACTCATGTGACGGTGATGCTGTGGACAGAATGTGCAGCAGGGGACTTAGCACACATCTTTGATCTAAGGTTAGGTGTTGATGAGTTCACTAAGTCCGTAGACCAATTGCACTGGGAAACATTGATGTGTAGATTATGAGTGTAGAATTACACTACTAGTCAATGAATTAACAACATTGGTGCTTTTCAGGTCCACTGAGGAAAGGATAGAGTTAAGTAGACAGGATACTGTTTTGTTTATTAATTTGTTTGGGCTGCAACAGACTGTATCCTTATCTAGTAGAGGAGTAAAGTATGACAAAGAGATCATCATAGTAGAGCATATCATTCATAAATGTTCTTAATATTCCCAAGGAATATGTTGTTTTTAAGTATGCATTTACATACATATTTAGTTCCTTTCTCACAAATAACTTCACCTCACATTACTGTATCTTTCCCTCCTTCAACTCTTATAATTGTTCCCATATCTAGCTTAAACTGGAAGATTTAAATGAACATATGGCGTCTTGTTATTTTTGGCGTCTTGATATATTTGTATATCTACAAATAGGTGTGGAAATGATTCATAATCTTACACTAAATAATGTGTGAAAATGCACAAAGCTCAGGGAGACAAAAGGCTGTGAAACAAACATGGAGAGTGATCCAAACCTTTTGCTGTTGTTGCTTTAATATTTCGTCTTTCTAAAAACAAGGTTATTAACATTATTTTGTCCTAAAAATATAACAGTAAAAATTGTTTAATTTTAATAATGCATCTATGAATTTTCATTACATTTTTTTCAGCATTTTAGAGGAAATGAAAGCCAAATAAATGCAACACTTACATTAGGTGCTTTACCTGATAAATACACATAGAACCCTATTAAAAAGTCATAACTGCAGCTGTTATAAGAAATACTTAACAAAATTATTAAATATGTTCCAGAACCTTTTGCTTTTCGGTAAAAAAAAAAAAATTGAAGGGAGACTTATATTGGTCTTGACTCTTTTTACTCTCAGTCCTTTCTGAAGATCTGTGACGTGATCCTTACCAAAAAAAAAAAAAAAAAAAAAAA